TAGAGCTTCTTAGTACTTAATCTTCCTGACTTCTCTTTGTTGATTGTTTTTTAAATTGCAGAGTGCATGCATCTGTGGATATAGAGTTAGTGCAACAAATAACCAGGGAGTTTCCATTAAAAGCCCATCGTTTGGTTCAATATAAAATTGTATGTAAAGTAGATAGGGAGCCATGATTCCTGGTAAGAACATGAGTCCAGTTCAGCTTGATAAAAACAGTAAATCTTTGCTGTTGTTTGGAGATCTGATCTCTGACTACACATGTAATAAACTATTTCATTTCAGTTACAAAAGTATAATTATAATTAAAAACTAATACTTGACAATTCATTTTTGGAAAATAGCAAGTAACTTTTGTAGTTTTCTCAAATGTCTTTTTATGAGTAAAATTAGATAATATGTTGAAATATTCTAGAAGTTATAATTTCAGATTTAAATTTGTAATTGTATATCCCTTTGAATTTTTATATGATTTTCATATAAAAATTTGAATCACAAGATAATCATCCACATACTAATTTATTTTATTTTACTTATATCCTTGCATTATATTAAACTGCCAATATTCCAGAAATCAGGTTTGTATTGTTATGGTTAAGTACTATTGTAATTTTATTAAAAGATCTTATAATTATAGTTTCCTTTATCTTAATCTCTCTGTATCTATAAAATTTAACCAAGAAAATATAGAAAAAAAAATCCCACTTTGGATGTCAGTTGCAGGAACTTTTCAAGCTACTAAACCTTTTAAACATCATTTTCCTATCATTTAATAGATAAAATTTTGTGTACTTAAAAGTGTTAATTGCTTGCCCCAAAGTAGTAGTATTAAAAGTAATCTGAAAAGATAATCTAATTTCTCAAATCTTTGCTGGAGACTTGATGGAGAGAAGAGGGGAGAAGATTTTTACATATGCCAGGACACCCTACTTTTTTCCAGAACACATTGTTCTCAACCAGAATTATTACTCACCTCCCTACAACATCTTACCCCATGCCACAGTCTTGAATATTGCCACTCTTGGCCTTTTGTTGCATTTCAGAAAGTCAGAGCTAGTGAATAATGAAGGCCCAAATTAATTCAATCAGTCATCAGCAAATATTTATTGAGTGCCTATCATATATATATATATATATATATATATATATATATATATATCCAGTAGTGTTCTCTGTGCTGTATACCTCATAATTGAAAAATCACATAAGGAACCCTGCCAATTAAGCAGAATGATTGATAGGTTCTCGTGCTCAACTAATACCAAAACAACCCATAGAAATTTAAAACATTGATTTATGAATCTGTTACAGCTGAACTTTCTGAAAGACCCAGTTACTGCCTGATTGTTTTAATCAAATTATATTTAATAAAACACTAATTAATATAATTCTAATTTTCCTGGTTCACATAACAGTATGTTCAGATACTAGCAATAAACAAATTTTTAAACAAATGAACTTTTAAAAATTGTGTATTTGGGATATTTGCAGAAACATCATTATATAAAGATTCATGATCCTCCCACCTTGGCCTCCAAATAGCTGGGATTACAAGCATTCCAACAGGACTATATTTCCATAGTTTCCTTTATATTAGAGTCCTTTGTGTACCTGTCTTCGCTCTTTCTCTCAAAGTATAATTCTTGCCCTCCAGGAAATTACCTTTTATTTCCTGTAGCACACAAAATAGCACTTCATATAGAAGATATGCTTGATAGACATTTGAATGGAATTCAAAATATTTATTTTGGAAAGTTATATACACTAATTTTAATAATGTTCAATTAGTCATAAAGTTTCTTATGTTCTTTTACAATTGCTTTAAGAGCCTGAGGGATTATTTTAAATTCTTTCAGTGGTGACAAATCATCAAGTGTTCAGGGAAAATTTGATTTTGGAAAATAGAATTCATTCTGAGCCATGGTTAGCGAATAATATGAATGCTCAATCTGGGCTCTATAGTTTCAGTTAAAATAAAAGTAATGTGAAGAAATGAGATAATCTTTGCATGAGACATGAAGTGACAAATCCAGAAGTTCCCAAAATACTTTCAACAATGGCAACATAATTGTGATGAATTTCTTACATCCTAAATTTTCTACTTGGAAACTTGCAGCATTAATTTGGCCATGTAAATACTAAAATATTTGTTAAATAAGCCTTGTCTCCTTGTAGATTCATTTTATAGTTGTCCAAAACAGGATCTTGAAACTATGTTTAGAACTAAAATATCACTTAATCATGAAGTTATGGCCCTTCTCAGTTAAGTATTACATTTTATAGCTTTCAGTGAGTGAGAATCCTAATATCAATATTGCACGAAATAAAACTCCCCAAATTTAGGGAAACATTTATCTGTACTATGAATCAAAACAGGTTAAAAATTCAGCTATGCTGATTATCCATTCCTGAGTTTTACTGAAATGTAAGGAACTAAAAGACTATTAGAACAGGAAAGGTGAATTGAATAAATAATTGAGTATCATGCAACTTTTCAGTAATCACTGTTTGGGGGCTCTGTCTTTTTTTTTTTTTCAATTCATTTGGTTTAACATATTTTCTCTAGAAAATCTATGTAGCAAGTTGTGAATTGTGGATGGGAATGTATGCAGTGATACTCCATAACAATTGGATATTATGTGATTATTTTAGCTGATTTACCTTTCTCTTTTTTTTTGTTCTTTTTAGTTATACATTACACAAGAGTACATTTTGACATATTATACAAATTGAAGTATGTCTTATTCTATTTAGGATCCCAGTCTTGCAAATGTATATTCCTCTCATCCTCACCCCCTTTTTGTGGGTTACCTTCCGTATATCAGAGAAAACATTTGACTTTTATATTTTGGGGAGATTAGCTTACTTCATGTGGCATGATAGTCTCCAAATCTGTCCATTAGCAAAAAAATATCATAAAGTCATTCATTTTTTATTACTGAGTAATATTCAAATGTGTATATATATATATACCACATTTTCTTTATCCATTCATCTGCTGAAGGACACCTAGGTTGGTTAAATAATTTAGCTATTTTGAATTGATCTGCTATAAACATTGTTGTGGCTGCATCATTGCAGTATGCTGATTTTAAATACCTAAGAGTGGTATAACCAGGTCAAATGCTGGTTCCATTTCTAGTTTTTTGAAGAATCTCCATATTGTTTTCCAGAGTGGTTGCACCAATTTTTAGTCCCAGCAGCAATTTGTGGGTGTATGATTTACCTTTCTCATTGGAGCTAACAATCAATTGATTTTGCAAACCCAATTATATATTGATGGAAAATTAAGAGTGTATACATTTTAAAGATTTTTTCAGAAGAAATCTTTTTATCACCTTAAGTAAAATATTGAAAAAAATAACTCATTAATACTTTGTCCGTATCCCCTACCATTTAGTTGTCATTTTACTGCCATGGTATTTTATATGTTTTACATATCCTTAAAAGTATCTGGAGTTATGAATTTTTTTAGCCTATGCCTTGCATATTGGTATCTTTGTAGCTCAAAATAAAGTGGCAGGTATGGTGGCCAGGAACTTTGAAAATTTACCTGAAGTTAGAATAATTGAGGTTATTTCTTAACTCTTACATGAACTATTTGATCATTATGCATTCTCAGGAGATATATTACTATATAAACCATCACTGTATACAACTTACCAAAACATTAAATGTTTGATTGAATATACATTACCAACACCACTTCCTATCAAGGCTGTTTTGACTTTTCAGTATCTCAGAGAGAAACAAGTGTATAGTAGGGGAAATAGGGCAAGCAACAAATATGGAGTATTATTTAATCCTTGTGTATCCCATGAAAAAAAATGTGATTAAATCCTTGTTATCATTAATCAAAGTTCCAGGACCACCTTAGTCTTTGTGAACACTCTCCAGAATTCACTCTCATCTATTCCCTTGCATATCTGTACTGAGATAATTTATTTATGGTCATTTGTCTTAGTATACTTTACTTTAAAAAGAATAATCATACTATTAGATAGGATTTTATAGAAGCATTGTTTCAATTTCAGGTGTGATACATAGACTAGAGATTATTGAAATTATTAAATCCTTGGCTACTATAATAATTTTTTTCTATTTTTAAAGGTAAAATGTTTCAACATTTATGGGATTATTAGACAGCATTTGATCAATAGCACTTGTATGCAGTGCAAGAAATATGTGCTTGAGGTTTGCAACATTGCAAAATTTCTCTACCAATGCTAAACACTGGAATGTACTTAAAAAAGAACATATTTTATGGAACACGATTTTTTTTCTAGAGAGGTTTCATGTACACATGATAATGCCTAAAGTTTCACATTTTCTGTTTTTTGCAGTCGTACATTGTTTACACAAAGTCATTTTTTTATTAACACTTAAATTTCACCATTTAATAACAAAGTGGGGAGGACATGGTGAATAGACTAATGAAATCACAGTTTGGAGAAAAATGTTTCATCCATTCCTATTATAGGCCTAAGATTTAATAAGGCACACGTAGTAATGATTATATTATTGCTGGTTTTGGAAAGTAAACACAGGTAATATGTTTAAAATGGTTTATAGTATACACCTTTCATTATGAAGTCATCTATTGCTTGATGATGATGCCTATTTAAAATGTTCTTGAAAATTTTTCACTTATTTCATAGGACACTGCTTTTCATTTTAATTATATCTTCAATAGATTTCTAAACACCCAACATGGCACCAGCAATTCTAGAGCCCCCCCCACCCCCATTCCCCCCCACCCCCCCCACACACACAGTGTCCTAGAAACCTTCTTGAAATTGCAGGAAAACTTTACACCACTTCTAAATTTTTTTCCACAAATTAATCCATTTAAATACTTAGGGAGCAAAAAAAATGCACATTTGCATATGCTCTGAATGCAAATGTATCTTGAAATTATGTATATTTTTTTTTCATTCTGATCAACATTATATGTAGTGTCAATGTATACTATACTGAGATTTGATTTGTTGTTTTCACAGATTTCAGGAAACCTTACTGTGCCTTGGATTACAGGGTGTTCTAGAAAAAGAGCAGTAAGTAATCTTTTATTTAAAGCAACAAATGTTTTTTTTATCTCCTGTTAATAGGAATACCGTTGAGAAAAATTTCATGATTTGTGTAAAGCTGGCAAAATTTAACCTTTATTTAACCTCAATGAACACATTTTGATTTCAGAATATTTATATATACTACAAAGAAAATCTTAAATATAGTAATCAACACTCTGAAATCAGTGGGTAGTTTTTTTGAATAATCAGTGGGTAGTTTTTTCCTGCTTTAAAATGTTCAAAGTAATTCATAAAATATTACATTTTGCTTACATTTATTTAGCCTGGTTAATTTTATAATTCAATTGAATTATTATTGATATAAAATATATTGATTGGTATTAAATTATTTACTATTTTAATGCAATTCAGTATTTACAAGTATCTTACAAATAAGGTTTTTATTTTTTCCTCTGGCTTTTTTGCAGAAACTTATGATTTTTTTAAGGTTAATATAAGTTTAGTAAAATGGTGTTTTACCAAAGAACCTAATTCAGATGATCTGCATAGGATCCATTAATATGCCCTGGGAAATAATGCAAGAGACGACCCATGAAGAATTATGAAAGGTGGAAAGAAGAAGATGACTGGTTAGGAACTCCAGGAATTGAAACCATAAGGTGTTTTGCGCTCCTTCACACATTTAATAGTAGATGGCTATCCAAACTAAGCAACTCATTACCCTTAAACAGGCAACAGAAAAAAAAATGGATTGTCTCATTATTCCCCCATGTGGAACATGTGTCCACATGAGAGACTTGTAACATTGGCAAGGGAGATAAATTCAAAGTCCCCACGATATTAAACAGACAAGGAAAGTGCTTTCCTTCCCAAGGCTTGAACCTCTCCTCCCTCTCTTGGAAATATTAGGCAGCAATGAAAAGGAAGATATTGCAACAAAGAGCAGACAGGTCTGCAGAGCCTCTTTGTCCTACTAAGCTACATAATTCTTCCCTTCACCTAGAAAATTAGACTAGAACGAGGGGTCAAGCTAAAACAAACATACATTCCTAGAAGTGCTCTATTCATCCCTGAAGAATGGTGAATCCATTTTCCCACTTAAAGACAATGATCTGTTGATTGGCACTAACAGGAGGAATCTCCTCACAAGTACTTGGGTTGGATAAGGTCTTCCTGTCCACTTAAGTGGCACTAGAAAGGATCAGTAAAAACCCCGGTGACATAGATAAATCAGTAAAAACTCCATATAAAAATAAAACCACAGAGGTTCTGAAAATTTTATCACTGGAATCATAATCCATAAAATTAGCCCATGACCTTTGTGCTAAACCTAACTGACTGCTTGCTTAAGTAAAAAGATTAAATCAGACTGAAAGTCTCCTAAATTACCGACCAATGTTAAGGAAACAGTTGAAAATCACCCATCATAAAAAGAAACAGGAAAATCACAGCTTGAATGATAAATGACAATCAACTGAAAAAACACTAAGATAAGTCATATTATGGAATTACCTGACAGATAGTTTAGAACATCAATTTTAAAAATGCTTCCTCATAAAATTATAAATTATCTTGAAGCCAATGGAAAAAAAAATAGAAAACCTCAGTAGAGCAGTAGAAGCTGTCAAAGTATTATAGAACTGAAAAATGCAACTAAAATTTGAAAACTTCCTAGATGGTTCAATATTAGAGTGGAAATGAAAGAGAACAGAATCAGTGAACTTGATAATAGATTACTAGAACTAAAATACAAAGAAGAACAGAATGTTTACAATCTGTTTTGACTGAAAAATAATGGACTGATTTTTTAAAAATATTTTTAGTTTTAGATGAACACAATACCTTTATTTTATTTTATTTTATTATTTTTAATTTCTTTATGTGGTGCTTGGAATCAAACCCAGTGCCTTCATATGCTAGGCAAGCACTTTACCACTGAGCCACAACCCCAGTCCTGGGCTGGATTTTATTGTATGTTAATGATATCTCAATGAAACTTTAAAAAACTACTCAATTTAGATATTGTAAAACCTTATAAAATTTAAATATAATGACAGTATGTGTGAAGAAAACTTAACTTTCAAAATGACATTTATAAAATGCACATTGGATTTTAAAAGCAATATGATAAATAGGAATATGTATAATATCTCAAAAATTTTTATAGTTGTGGTAAGAACATTTAACACAATATACACTGTCTTAAAAATTAAACACAATACAATGTTGTTAATTATAGGAATATTGTCATATAACACATTTTTGGAACAGGCTAATTTTTCAGTTTATTGATCTTTACTTAAATGAAGTATATATAAAGTTGTGTTTTGATTTTTATAAACAATCATAGTGAAATGATTATTATACCCAAGAAAATTAGCATATCCATCTTCATACATATCTACCAATTCTTGTTTTCTTTTTATCATTCTTTTTTGTGCCTAGTTCATTCTTTCTTTTTTATGATAAGTGCAACTCCAATCTAATCTTTTAGTAAATATCCAATATATAATACCCCTTTTTTGTAATTGTTTATACTGGTGGGATAATATGTGGCATTTCATTACATATACACAATATATAAGCATGTCCACAATGTGTAAATGTGTAAAATTCAGATCATAGTAATTGGCATATCTGTCACTTTAGACACATATCAGGTTTTTTTTTTTGTGTGTGTGTGTGTTGGGAATATTCAACATTTCTTATATTAGCAATTGCCAAATATTCAATTTATTTTTGTCAACCGTAGTTTATTCAGAGTTTATTTATTGTGTATGATGTGAGGTAGGAGTCCTGCTTCATTCTTTTGCTTGTGGTTATCTAATTGTTCCAGGATTCCCCAATGGTTGGACTTATATAATTGTCAAAACTCAATTGACTGCAGAGGTCTGATTTATTATTGGACTCTTAATTCTGTTTAATTGATCTATTTAACTTTGTGTCAATACTGTACTGTGTTGAATACTTCACCTTTCCAGTAAATTTTTAAATAGAATTATGAGTTCTTCAATATTATTTTTCTCCTTTAATTTTATTTTGACAATTCATAGATGACTACAATACTGTATATATTTTGGGTCCTGCTCTTCAACTTCTGCAAAAATTATAGTTGAGATATTGAGGAGAATTTCATTGAATCTGTATATTGCTTTGGGAAAAGATTGACATCTTAATGATATCAAGTCTTCCAATCTATGAATATGGGATATCTTACTCAGGTCTTTATTTACTATTAACAGTGCATTTTTTAAAAGAATTAAAAACTAAAGGATGAATGTTTTCTCTGATAAACAAATGCTGATAAATAATGGGGAGATAGGGAAAAAATGAAGGAATTTTGGTTTGTGCAGAGGGGAGTGAAGGAAAGGGAGGGCGTGTGGGAATGGAAAGGACAGTGCAATAAAATGGACATTATTACCCTAAATACATGTATGATTACAATCCCCATGTGACTGCACCATATACAGCCAGAGGAAGGAAAAGTTGTGCTCTATTTGTGTATAATGTGTCAAAATGCATTTTTACTTCATGTATGACTAATTAGAACACATTAAAAAATATTTTTGTCTTGAACCTCTTTGGTTAAATTTATTCTTATATATTTATCCTTTTGATGCTATTATAAATAGAATCATTTTCTTAATTTCCTCTTTTGCTTGTTCATTGCTAGCATATATAATAAATTTAGTGCATTGATCATCTATTTTTCAAATAGGATAAATGTGTTCATTAAGTCTAAGAGGTTCTTTTGTGTATTCTTTGCAATTACCTCTACATAGGATCATGTCACCCACCAATAAATATTATTTTTTCCCAATTTGGATGCTTTTTTTTAGTTCTTTTTAAATTTTTTCCTTTTTCTTCCTAATTATACTGGTTTTTACTTTTAGTGCAATGTTGAGTAGAAGTGATGGAAACAGGGGACCATGGTCTTGTTCTTGATCTTGAAATATTTTTCAATTTTTCATTATTGAGTATACTATTAGCAGAGGATTTTTCATAAATTCCTTTAATGAAGTTTAAGTTCCTTCTGTTGCGAACTCTGGAGTAATTTTAGCAAAGTGTGTAGAATATTGTTGCATGCTTTTGGATCACCAGTTGACATGGTCACCTGAGATTTTTCCCCCCTTAAATTCCATTAATGTGGTTTGTTATATGATTGAAGTTTTTTTGTGATGAACCACCCTGACATTTCTTGGATAAATCCCAGTTAATTATACAGTATAATCCTTTACTATGCTACTGAATTCCATTTTTATTTTTTGAGGAATTTTATGTCTATATTCATGGAGTTGTTTGTATAGTTTTCTTGTGATTTTTTTTTTTATCTAGCTTGATGTCAGGATGCTTGTATCTAGCTTGGCATCAAAGAGTGAGTTAGAAATGTGACTTTCTATTCAATGTTTTATAAGAGCTTGAGTATTGATATTAATTCTTTTTAAAGTAAGTGTTTGGTAGAATTCACCATTGAAGCCTTATGGTAGTCATGGGGGATTGGTTGTTTTCTTGTTTGTTTTGTTAAGAGGTGTTGATTATAGATTTGATTTCATCTTTACCTGTCATTGATTTCTTAATCCAATGTTGGTATGTTGTATGTTTCTCAAAATTTATCCATTTCTTCAAGGCTCCTTAAATGACAGAATATAATTATTCACAGTAGTCCCTTATGATACTTGTATTCAATTCTGGAGTACAAGTGCATGGTACCAACATTAGCTCAGTTCTGGTGAGGACCTCATAGCAGGTAGCAACACAATGGAAAAGGCAAGTGCAAGAGAAAGAAATCACTGGGTGAGACAAGAAACCATAGATAAATGGCATACATATTTTAATGCAAGCAAAATAGGCTACAGTTTGTGTAATTAAATGACATGAATTATCTTAACACTGTCAGTTTACAGCTATGAATATTTTAAACATATGGTCAAAGTAATTATGTTTTTTTCTCTTCCACCTGATATTTTTATGGTAGAGGCAGTCATAGCAGGATAATTTCCTTCCACATATATATATTTTATTCC